GCCTGGATTGAGAGGAAAAGAGAGCTGGGGTCTCTGCACAAGCCAGGGCTGCAGCAGGCACCCAGGTGGGTGCTCAGAGGTTCCTGACAATTTGAGATCCTGCCAGCATGTCCCATGCACCCTGCAAGCCCCAGAATGACAGCTGTGCCATGTCCTGCGCCAAACCCTGTGCCATGCACCCTTCTTATCTCTGGGTGGAGGAAGCATTGGCCAAAACCTCCCCACAGCCAGGGCAGGGACTGGAGACGGCGCTGGGGGAGTGGGGAGGTGACGGAGCAGGGGGCTGGTTCTGGTACCTGCATGGTGACAGGGTTGGGGCCAGAGTAAGCTCCAGGCTCACTCTGATGCATCCCCGGGGGGGATGCAGCCCTTCCTGGGGGTCCTGGACCCTCGGCTCCCCAGCAGCCTCCTCCAACACCAACGAGGTGCCCTGGCTCCTGCTGTTACCTGCATGGCTGCTGGCACAGGGACCAGGTGTCCCCATGGGTCCCCACGCCCTGGGTCAGGCTGCCCTCTCCTTCAGCGCAGGGAGGCAAACAGCAGTGACAGGCACAACCTGCCAGTGACCTGAGCAAAGCTCGGTGCTCGGTGTCCCCCCGGTGAGCAGCAGAGCTTGGTGTTCCCCATTTGGGGCCAGGGAGCCCCTATTTATAGCAGCATCTTCCCTCCCGTGCTCCCAGCCCCAGAGAACACGGGTATTGTGGGGATTTGGCACCCTCACAGCATTTGTGTTTCACTAACCGAGCAGAACCACAAAAACCAAACCCGCAGCCAAAGTGACTCTAGGGCTGACAAAAAAAAAATACCCCAGCAGGAAAGCATCTGGGACAGTTCAGGTGTGGAAAAGGGACTTGGCTTCACGAGGCACCCCAGAGCTGGCAATTCCTCAACAGCCACCCAGGGCGCTCCGTAGAGGATCCTGGCTGCTGGTTTGTCACACGGTGCCCCTAAGGTCACTGTCCCCTGCCTGGCCCAGGGGCTGGCAGGACCCTGGGTGTCCCAGCTGTTCCCAGGTGGGCTCAGGAGGAGCCGGCCCCGAGAGATCTGGCTCCATCCCACCCTCCTTGCTTGAGCAGGAGGAGGTTGCAGACACAAAAATAGCAAATCCCATATCATTTCGGGTGACACCATCCAGAGAAATGCCAGAGCCTCACGCCGAGGGACAACCTGTCCCTGTTTTGCCCTAACGACACCTGAAGGAGCAAGGAGCTGTGAACGGGATACTGACATGGGACAGCACCAAACTGGTGCCAAAAGCAGCAGGACCCCTGGAGGGAGGGAAGGTGGGCTGAGTGGGTGCTGGGGCAGCACAGGGGGGTCGCGGCAGAGCGGGCTCCTTACCTCGAGGGTGTGCGGGCTCAGAAGCCACATGGGTGCCAGCGCAGGGTGGCAGGAGCCGTCCCTGCGGCACTGGGCGCGGTGTCTGCGGGGGACATGGCCCCGGGTGAGGTGTCCGAGCACGGGCGAGCTCAGCGCCGGCTCCGCGGCGG